AGCAGGGTGAAGTTACAGAAGGTAAGACCTTCCACCCTCAGCAACTGTTAAGATTTAAGGGTCACAACTGCTCAGGGGGAAATGATGTGGAGAATGAACGCAAAAGAAAAATTAAATTTCCTTACAACCTACAAACCATTGGCAAGTCCTTAAGACAGGCAGAGTGACATTCCTCTAGGAACTCACTGCCCTGATGTTAATACTTTATTAAGGGCAAAAGGCAACCTTAGCTTAACATTAGCCCTACTTCCATGATCCTGTCAGTCCCCTTTAACATATAAAAATCCCGTAGGAAACTTCCTTTAACTCTACCCCCCAAGATATATATTCACAATCATCCTCCAAGCCTATGGCTCACTGATATACACCTGAAGGGTCTCAGAACTAAGGTTTTACTAGACAGTAATAAATGACTTTTTCTAATAACAGCTAGTCCAAGGTCCTTAAAACTTTGATACCAAATTCCTTAGAGACTTATACTATCCCTAATTGCCTCTCAACTTGAAAATATATAACCAGCCACCCCTCACAACCCCAGTGCGGCTTGCTCTGCCCCTGGGTCCTGTCCCTGTGCTTTGATAAAACTACCCTCTTTGCTCTAAAGATGATTCCAAGTTCTTTCTTGACCATTAGCCTCCAGACCCCATTTCACATTATTCCTACCTGGAACTGTGCTGGCCTTCGGACCAACTCCTTTTGAAAACCAGCCTGTTCTTGTTGAAAGAGTGGTTTTTAGGAATTTCTCTTTTTGTTCTAAAGAAAAAAAGCTTAGAAATGGGATCCCAGCCATCAAAATGCTTTGTCCCCATTTTGTGGTGCCCTCTGGTGTTATGCTTAAAAACTATGGTCTCTCCTCACATGCATTTCTAACTAAATGGACTAACTTCACAAGAACTTAGACCATCAATGGTCCTTATGGGGAACTTTTGATGTCCCCAAATTGACTCTTATCAAAACTGAATTGAACAGCCATGGCTCTACAATTGTCAAACCAGATAGGATGCCTACTTCAATGAGTATTTTGAAGCTTCCAAACACTATCAGGACTTAATGTTGCTTCTCTGCAAAACACTACTTCTAAATTAAAACACTACTTCTAAATTAACAGAGGCAAACCTTTGAAAGGTATCAAAATGGCTTCTGATACTTTGTCCCTCCCCCATCTTTGTCTCCAGAGAGTTGCGACCACCTAGTGTGCAGACCAGCCCTCCAGTGCCCTCTCCCTCTCTTCCCTCTGCCCTATCCCTGCCTCCTGTGTACCCCCCTCCTTCTAATCCTTTCTCTGAAGGCCCCTTTTCCTCTGATTCCCTCCTCAGTCCTTCCTCTCCCGAACCTGTTAAGACAGGCTCATTTGGGGATCCAAATAAACCTCAATTTCTGGCATTCCCTGGATTGCAGGAATGCAATTCCCTGCATTCAAGACGGAACTGTGAGCCGGAGTCAGCATTTCCCAACGTGACTGAGGATCCCCATAGGTGTGCTTAAGAATTTAATAGTTATTCAAAGTTACCAATCTGGTTCTCAGATTTATAGCAATTAGCTCATATGCTTGTTGGTGAGGGCCAGGCCAAACACTGGATGAATGTGGCCTGATAGGAACATCTTAAAAAGTATTAGGGAAACAGCACATTTATGCAGGAATGTAGCAAACTCCCTGGAAATACTACTGAACAATTATACTATCTTCGCTTAAGCCTGTTGAGTGCAACAAAATTCAGACTTGCACACAAAAACCTGATGGGCCTTTTCATGATGATAACAATTGACTCCAAATTGTCTTTAAATACTCTATTTTCAGTTACAGCATATGAAACAGTTTTAAAAAACTGTACTTTCTGCTAGTATTGCAAACAGCCAGGATATCAAAGAAAGCTTGTTACAAACCTAAGCACTCCAGGCACCTGCATCCCTCTAGCTGGATGTTCCAACATTCTCCACATTCCCAAAGACAGGGCTCTAAGGAACTATAGGGGCTGTTCCCAGGGCTCCCTCTTAATCAACTTGTGGAACCACCTCCACATTGGGAATGAGTCTCTGTCCTTGTTGACACCAGAACTACACTCCTGGTGGCCAACTTCCTGATGGAAAGCAGCCCCTGCTCACAAGGACTAAAACAGCTCCAACAGTGGGGGCCTTAAATCTCCACAGGTTCCTGTCTCTCAGCCTATTCTTTTCGTCTAGGCCCTTGGAGATACTCACCTTCTCCTTAGTTACTTCTCCTCTATTTATGTGTGCACCTGGCATTTCGTAGAAAAGTATCATGCCAGAATTTGATTTCCTCAAAATGGGCAAATAATTCCAGAATTTGGCAGCAGTAATCAAAATAATCAACCAGGGGAAGTACACGACCCCATGGCCTCTTTTCTACACTCTTGTCTCTGATGGCACCATAGCAGAGCCTGGGAATACTGGTCATTTGTTCCTATTGGATCAGCTACCTTGTTCTTTATGGGCAACATGTTCAACTGATATTGGCAGAATCCACATTGTACCTCATAAAGATAAAACTGTATTTATCAAAATCTCTTGGCAGAATGAGACAATACTGTATAAAGGAGCCCTTCAGGGGATCAAGCCCATCACAATCCCCTCCACTATACCCTGTAACACCCGTTTTCCTGGTGAGAAAACCCAATGGCTGACAATGGATATCTGTCTAGGACCTCTCAGCAATAAATAACATTTTCATCCCTCCACACTCTTGTTCCTAACCCCTAGGCTACTGACATCCATTGCCACTAGAGGAAATTTTTCATTGTAATTCATCTATGCAGTGGATTTGGTATTTCAGTTGATAAGTGTAGCGAGTTTTTCTTTCACTTGGATAATACCCATGGACAGTCATATTGCTGGGAATCACAGAAAGTCTTTTGTACTTTTCACAAACCTCTAAGGCAGCTCTGGATGACAGGGTTTTCTGCATCTCTGCTTTGTTATACTATGGAGATAACTTCATTCTCTGCCTCCCTTCAATGGAAGGCATCATCTACTTGTTAAAACTTTTGGCTTTAAAGGGACATAAAGTCTCAAAAAATTACATTTTGCTTAAACTCAAGATAAATACTTATGGCATCTGATCTTGGAACCAGAGCACACTGGGATACAGACAAAACCCCTCATGACTTAATGCTGACACGTCATGTTTTGAGTCCCTGTGGCATTTTACATGTCACTCTTCTAAGGAAGAAAGTTTTTTTCTTTTTCTTTCTTTCTCTTTTTTTAAAGATTTTATTTATTTATTTGACAGAGAGAGAGAGAGAGAGAGAGAGAGAGAGAGAGCACAAGCAGGGGGAGTGGGAGAGGGAGAAGCAGGCTTCCCACCGAGCAGGGAGCCCGATGCGGGGCTCAATCCCAGGACCTGGAATCATGACCTGAGCCGAAGGCAGACACTTAACAACTGAGCCACCTAGGCGCCCCAGGAAGAAAGTTTTTTTCATAGTTTACTAGTGGGTATTTCAAAAAAGATGAAAGTGGTAAATATTATCTTGGGTGTGCTACTGCAAATCCTTTTTCTTTTTAAGATGTTATTTTTTGATTTATTTTCCATGATCTCTACACAGAATGTGGGGCTCAAACCCACAACACCAAGACCAAGAGTTGCACAATCCACTGACCTAGTCATCCAAGCACCCTGCAAATTCTTTTGAAGGTACTGAGACAACAATATTTTTCCATTTGATGTCCAACCCAATAGGATGAGTTATACACCCTACTTTTGCCAAGGGTAAAAACACAAACATTTAGTCCAACTGGTATGCCTTTGGGGTACCTCAGGACTATGGAATATTATGGAAATAATGAAATGTTGTTAGATCCAATGTGGATAAAACTGAAGAGGCTCCTATGTTTAAAATTTACCATATGCCGTATTTTGGCAGGAGTTCTAGCTGATATTAATGGCACTATGCACAGCGGACTTGACCTCCTGGGGCCAAAAAAAGCACCTCACTGATATTTCTACCACAATCACTGATCACAAAAAAAAAAAAAAAAAAGCAATCCAGAGTCATGGTCAAAAGGCATGTTCTTTCAAAAGGCATGTTCTTCCAAGTCACATTTAGAACAAAATCGACCAAAGACACCAAAAATGCCTCTCAGAAAAGATAAACCAACATCAGAAATTTAACTTTTCATTCAATAAAAAGAGAAAATTTATGTGAAAACATGTATTTCAATAATGAAGACTGAAATGTAGAGGTGATACAGAGTCAGGAAATTCCAGTATCTGCAAAAGACAACAGAAAAGAACTTGCAACAATAAAAGTCTCATGTGATGATCATACATTAAGAAAATTTTGGAATGTGAGCATAAGAAAGTTTTTGTATACTTATATACAACTTTATATAAAGTTGTATGCACATACCCCTCCCACAGACACATTCTTATCAACTTGAGTCCAAGAGACACTGTAATGGAAAAGAGACATGTTTTACATAACCATGTGATTACTCCACGTCTGAGATAACAAAGTCTATGTGGTACAGATGCAGAGGACTTACCACCATTAGTGTTCACATCAGCGACATGAACTAGGAGTAAGACACTTCGCATCTCTATCAAGGAAGAGGCACTTGCAAAAACAAAACCATGTTTATAACAATGAAACAATTTCTGCCCCACTAACATTTTCATGAACAAAATACATAAAGTTGATACCAGAAGATTTACCAAAATTGTGTCCATTCAGGTTCATCTCCAGGTATTGGCTCTCATTTTAAAAATGATTTTAGAGAGAATAAATGCTTTCCCACAGGGTCTGTGCTCCTAGATTGATGAGGTACCTGACGACTTTTCCATGGTTCTTAAGTTCATAGGGTTTCATATCACTGTGCTTTCACACATGTCCTCGAAGAGAAGAGGGACAACGGAAGGCTTTCTCACAGTGCAGATATTCTTACGGTTCTGCCCTGTGTCATCACACGTACTTACATGTCTATGGGACACTGGAAAATCTTACCAGAGTCCTTAGATTCAGAGGGATACTGTCCACTGCGCATCCTCACGTGTTCTTGAAGGGAGTGGTGACGAGTGAATGTCTCTCCCCAGTGTGTTTCTTCATATGCACTCGAAGGGATGAGGGAAACTTGTATGTTTTCTCACACTCCATGCATTCATAGGGTTTAATTGTGCTGTGCGTTTTCAAATGATCTTGAAAACACTGAGGCTGACTGAAAGCTTTCCCACACTCTATACACTTAAAAGGTCTCTCTCCAGTGTGTGTCCGCATGTGTGCTTCCAGGTGTGATGGACTCCTGAAGGTTTTGCCACAGTTGTGACATTCATAGGGTCGCTTTCTAGTGTGTGTCCTCATATGTACTCGTAAGGATGCAGTACAGGTGAAGGCTTTCCCACACTGCTGACATTTACAGGGTCTTTCCCCATTGTGTGTCCTCACATGAGCTCGTAGATTTCCAGGAGAGCTGAAGGCTTTCCCACACTGCTGACATTTACATGGTCATTCTCCACTGTGTGTCCTCATATGTGCTCGCAGGTTTCTAGGAGTTGTGAAGTCCTTCCCACACTGCTCACATTTACAGGGTCTTTCCCCAGTATGTGTCCTCATATGTACTCGCAGGTTTCCAGGAGTCGAGAAGACTTTGCCACACTGCTGACACTCACAGGGGCTTTCCCCAGTGTGTGTCCTCATATGTGCTCGAAGGTTTGCAGGAGACTTAAAGGCTTTCCCACACTGCTGACACTTAAAGGGTCTTTCCCCAGTGTGCGTCCTCATATGTACTTGTAGGTCTCTGTGATACCTAAAGGCTCTGCCACACTCCTTACAATCATAGGGTTTCAGGACATTGTGCGTGGCCATGTGACGTTCAAAAGGTCGATGCTTTCTGAAAGTTTCACCACACTCCTTACATTCCAAGTGTCCACCCTCTGTGTGCCTTCTCACAGTATGTACTACAAGGGTGTGGTGACGAATGAAGGCTTTTCCACAGTGCTGACATTTATAGGGTCTCTCTCCAGTGTGTTTCCTCATGTGTTCTCGCAGGCATGAGTTATACCTGAAGGTCTTCCCACACTGTTGACATTCATATGGTCTCTCCCCAGTGTGTGTTGTCACATGTTCTCGCAGATTTCCAAGATATCTGAAGGTCTTCCCACATTGCTGACATTCATAGGGTCTTTCCCCAGTGTGTGTCCTCATATGTATTCGCAGGTCTGTGTGATCCCGGAAGGCTCTGCCACACCGGTTACATTCGTAGGGTTTCACAGTACTGTGTGTGGTCATGTGACGTTTAAAATGTTCACACTTCCGGAAAGTTTTCCCACACTCCTTACATTTGTAGGGTCTGTCCCCAGTATGTGTCTTCATATGTACTCCAAGGGCTGTGTGATACCTGAAGGCTCTGCCACACTGCTTACATTCATAGGGTTTCACTACATTGTGTGTGGTCATGTGACGTTCAAAAGGTAGATGCTTCCTGAAACTTTGCCCACACTCCTTACATTCCAAGGGTCTGTCCTCTTTGTGTCTTCTCATGTGTTCTTCAAGGGAGTAGTGATCAGGGAAGGCTTTTCCACACTGCTGACATTTATAGGGTTCTTCCCGAGTGTGTGTCCCCACATGTCTTTGCAGGCTTGAAGTAGACCTAAAGGCTTTCCCACACTCCACACATTTATATGGTCTCTCCCCAGTGTGAGTTCTCACATGACGTGTAAGATCAGAATTATACATAAAAGCTTTCCCACATACATCACACACACGGACATTCTGTCCACAGTGACCTTGCACATGATCCTGAAAGGATGAGGTGCGAGTGAAAACTTTTCCACATTTCTTGCACTCTAAAGATTTTTTACTGCTGAGATTCTTCAAGTATCTCTTAAATGCTGTGCCAGAGTCCTGATGTTCACGATGTTCATAGGGTTTCTCTACAAGGTCTGCGTCCAAGTGAGTGATGCGGCTCAAGACACACCTGCAGGCTGGCCCACATTCCTCACAGGGACTAGGTGTGTGTCCAGGATGAGATCTTCCTGGGTTCTCAGGGAAAGAACCATCTGTGAAGGTTTCTCTACACTTAATGCATTCACAGGATTTATCTCCAGTAGTACACTCCTCATGCACAGTAAAACTAGTAATTTGGTTTACGGTATCTCCACATTGATTACCTTCATTGCTTTCACAGACACGCTCCACCAAATGACTTCTGTTCAAAATAGGAAGGCACACTGTTAGAGAATAATGATTATAACCAAACTCTTTTATTAATGATCTACTGATGCTTATAAATGATTATTTGGCTACATAATGGCCATTTTCAATGAATGGGTACATTTTTGGCACTGTCTCCATGGTAACAAAGTGAAACAAGCTTAATGCATTGGCTGAGGACTCAAATATAGTCATAACACCCTAGGTTTCTCAGATACAGCTTTTCTCACCATTGTTTCCAACTTCCACCATTAGTTTTCAGATGATAAATATCTAGAATGCATTCATTAAAATTCCATCATGTGAAAATTATGGTTATACAATTATTGAGGTATGCTTTCAGCTATTCTCTAATTTCAAGTTAGTCTCACAATCTGCCCTGATCCCCTTCTCCTGTAGGAGTGTCACTCACCTCAAATGCCCTTCCTGGGTTTGGGTCTGATCTCCACTGCTATGAAATTTCCGGTTTTCTCCAAAAACAGAACACGAATCATTTCTTGCAAATATGACTATTTTCTCTTCACTGGGTAACTCATTCTGCAAAATATTCCACTGCGTCCTCGATGCACTCCTTTTATCCTGACTGGGACAAACTGCAAAAATTGGTAGCATAATTTAATTTCTTGGGAATGATCTGATGTTTGAAGGTAAGAAAATAGACCATATGTTGATTTCGATTCATATACTCATCACAAAATGTAAATGAAGCTCATCAGGAAGAATGGACAAGTGATCAAAGAAAACTTCTGAGGACCCTAGTGATTTGGGACTTTGGCAGTAAGAGGAAAGTGTATGTAGCGCAGCCCGTTTACTCAGAAATACTTCAAAATTGATGGAGACTAATGTGGAGATAAGTGTTATCAGAAAAGGAAAGCAGAAAGGACCTGGGCAAGATACACACATCCGCACCCTACCTCTATAAGAGGAATACAGAAAGGCTTGCAATGTGGGTGAGGATGAATGAACGGTCCGACCTGGAAGCCAGGTAAGTGACAAAATCACCCTTCTTCAACAAAACTGAGTCACGTTTCTAATGGACATGTCCAAATGCTGTTCCCTTCTCCAGAACCTGGCCCAACTGAGGGTTGCTAGGATGTTCTGAAGGCACAGAGGCCCTCGGTGAAGCCTGCCTGGACTGCCCCAACTGCCACTCGGAGGTTGGATGGTGTGTGTGGCTGCTGCCCAGCCCCTGGAGAACAGCACAGCATGAGGGAGGTGAAGAGCAACAAGCAATCTGGATGATGGGCCCTTACTTTATTCTTCGAATTCAATGATGATGGGTAAGTGGGAACTTTTTTTTCTTCTTTCTTTTCTCATTTTTTAGTGGAAGCATATCGACCATTAATATTAGCATCAGATGTACAACACAGTGATTCAACAATTATATAATTACAAAATGCCCACCACAGTAAGTATAAATATCATGTTACTATAGAAAACTAATACAATATTATTGATCATATTCCATCTGCTGTACTTTTCATTCCCATATTTACTAAGTGTGACTTCGTACCACTCAATCCCCTTTATTTTACCTCTCCCTCCATACCCTTCCAATCTCACAAGCACCAATTTGTTCTCTATAGTTCTAGTTTTAAGTCTGTTTCTATTTTCTGTTGTTTGTTCATTCATTTTGCTATTTAGATTCCACGTATAAGTAAAGTATGGTGTTTACCTTTCTGTCTGACTTATTTACTTGGAAGAATACCCTCTAGGTCCATCCATGTTTTCACAAATGGGAAGACTTCAACCTTTTTGCAGAGCTGAGTAGCAGTCCCTTATATGCATTTTCCACATCACTAACCATTCATCTTGTTGATGGACACGTGAGTTCCTTCCATATGTTGAGTATTGTAACTAACACTACAATGAACATTAGTGTTTTTTCTATGGTTAAATACCCAGAAGTGGAATTATAGATGATATGGTACTTCTGTGCTGTTTTATGGAACCTCCATACTGTTTTCCATGGGGGCTGCACCAATTTACCTTCCCACCAGCAAAGATGAGTTTCCTTTTCTCCGCACCCTCACCAATACTTGTTATTTCTTGTCTTTTTGATACCAGCAAATCTGGCTGCTGTGAGGTGATATCTCATTTGTGGTTTTGATTTGCACTTCCTTGATGATTAGTGATATTGAGCAGCTTCTTCATGTGCCTAGTGGCCATCTGTATATCTTCTTTGGGAAAATGTCTACTATGTTCCTCTGCCCCATTTTAAAATGTTCCCTTTCATTTCCCTTGTCTGAAGGGATAATTCCATAAAAGTACTGCTAAGGCTGATGTCCATGAATTCTGTTTCAAGACAATTCTGTTTTGTCTTAAGAGGTGTACGGTTTCAAGTCTTACACTTAGGTATTCAATCCATATAGAGTTTACTGTTGTGTAAGGTGTAAGAAGGTGGTCCAATTTCATCCTTTCGCAGATAGCTGTCTCATTTTCTTAACACCAGCTATTGAAGGGAGTCTTTCCCCATTGTATATTCTCAGCTCCTTTTTGGTGGATAATTTCACCATATAAGCATGGGTTTATTTCTAGACTCTATTCTGTTCCCTTGACCCATGTGTCTGTTTTTGTGCCAGTAACATACCGTTTCGATTAGTAGAGTTTTGTGGTATACTTTGAAATCTGGGATTGTTATATCTTCAGCTTTGGTTTACTTTTTCCACACTGCTTTGGTATATTTGGAATATTTTGTTTCCATTCAAATTTTTAAATTTTTCGCTCAAAAAGTACTATTAGTATGTTGATAGGGATATCACTGAACACGCAGGGTGCTTTTCATGGTATGGGCATGTTTAAAAATACTAACCCTTGCAATCCATGACAAGGGTTTATTTCTCCATTTAGTGTGTCATCTTCAATTTTCTTCATTAAATGTCTTATATTCTCCCTCTCCCACTCCCCCTGCTTGTGTTCCCTCTCTTGCTGTGTCTCTCTCTGTCAAGTAAATAAATAAAATCTTTAAAAAGGGGGGGCACCTGGGTGGCTCAGTTGTTAAGCATCTGCCTTCAGCTCAGGTCAAGATCCCAGGGTCCTGGGATTGAGCCTCCCATCGGGCTCCCTGCTCAGCGGGAAGCCTGCTTCTCCCTCTCCCACTCCCCCTGCTTGTGTTCCTCCTCTTGCTGTGTCTCTCTCTGTCAAATAAATAAATAAAATCTTAAAAAAATAAATATAGATTTCAGTCTTTCACCTTCAGGTCTTTTACCTTTCTTACATTTATTTACCGTATCTTACAGTTTTTGAAGGAATTAAACATAGGATTGTTTTCTTAATTTCTCTCTGCTATTTTGTTACGAGTTATACAAATGCAACAGATTTTGGTATATTAATTTTGTATCCTGCAACGTTTCTAAATTCATTTGTTAGTTTAATAGTATTTGGTGAAGTCTTAAGGAATTTCTATATATACTTTCATATTATCTGAAGATATTGACAATTTTCTTAAACAGTTGCTTACTTCCCATTTCTTTATGTTGTCTGACTAGTAGGCCTATGACTTCCACCACTATGTTGAATAAAACTGGTGAGAGTGGACATCCTTGCTTTGTTCTTGATCTTAGAGAAAAAGCTTTTGGCTCTTCACCATTGAGTATATTAGTGTGGGTTTGTCATCTATGGCCTATGGTCTGTTGAGGTATATTCCTTGTATATACATCTGTTTGAGAGTGTTTATCAGGAATGGAGGTTGAATTCTGTCAAATGATTTCTACATCTATGGAGATGATCACATGGTTTTTATAATTTATTTCATTGATGTGGTATATCATACTGCTTGATATGCATATATTAAAAATTCATTCCACCCCTGGAATAAATCCCATTTTATTATGGTGAATGCTCCTTTTAATGTATTTTGAATTCAGCCTGCTAATATTTTCTTTAGTACTTTTCCATCTATGTTCCTCAGGGATATTTGTCTGTGAATTTTTTTTTTTTTTGTAGTGTCTTTGGTTTTGGTATCAAGGTAATGCTGACATCACAGAATGAACTTGGAAGCATTCCTTCCTGTTCTATTTTTTGGAGTAGTTTGAGAATAATAGGTATTAACTCTTCTTTATCTGCTTGGTAGAATGTACCTGTGAGGTCACGTGGTTGGTCCTGGATTTCTCCTCAATGTGTTTTGATTAGTAATTCGCTTTTGTTTCTAGTAATAGTCTGTTTACATTTTCTATGTCTTCCTAATCTCATCTTGGCAGATTAGTTTCTAAAAATTATCTATTTCTCTGGGTGGTGCAATTGGTTGCTATACAATTTCCCATGTAATCTCATAACCCATTGTATTTCTGTGGTGTCAATTTTAACTTTTCTCTCATTTCTGATTTTGAGAAATTAGAATTTCTTGATTTCTTGATTACTTTGGCTAGATTTTATCAATTTGTTTCTTGTTTTCTTGATTAGTTTGGCTAGATTTTATCAATTTTATCTTTTCAAAAGACCAGCTCTTAGTTTCATTGATCTTTTCTATTTTTTAACCTCCATTTCATTTATTTCTGTTCTGCTCTCCATGATTTCCTTCCTTATAAATTTGGGCTTTGCTTATTCTTCTTTTTCTAGTGTACCTTACACTCTAGGTGTAAGGTTCGATTGTTTGAGATTTTTCTTGTTTCCTGAGGCAGGCCCATATCACTATACACTTCCATCTTACCACTGCTTGTGCTGCACAGGCCAAAAATGTTCCATCATGCATTTATTTTTATTTAGCTCCAGGTATTTTACTGATTCCTCTCTGACTTCTTTGTTGACCCATTGGTGTTTAGTAGCATGCTGTTTAGCTTCAACACATTTGAGCTTCTTCCTTTTCTTGTTATTGACTTGTAATTTCATACTGTTGTGCATAGAAAACATGCCTCATAAGATTACAGTCTTCAGGGGCACCTGGTGGTTCAGTTGTTAAGCGTCTGCCTTCGGCTCAGGTCATGGTCCCAGGGTCCTGGGATCGAGCCCCACATCAGGCTCCCTGTTCAGCGGGAAGCCTACTTCTCCCTCTCCCACTGCCTCTGCTTGTGTTCTCTCTCTCGCTGTGTCTCTCTCTGTCAAATAAATAAATAAAATCTTAAAAAAAAAAGATTACAGTCTTCGTAAATTTACTGAGACTTGTTTTGTGGTCTAACATATGAACTATCCTGGAGAATGTTCCTCACGCACTTGAAAAGAATGTGTATTCTGCCGTGTGGGATGGAATGTTCATTATGTCCACCTGGTGTAATGTGTCACTGAAATCCACTCTACTTATTTTCAGTCTGGACGTTCAATGTAAGCACATTAGTAGAGTGTTAAATCCTCCTCCAATTACTTACTACTGTCATTTTCTGCCTTTATTTCTCTTAATATTTGCTTTATATATTTAGGCGTTCCCTGCTGTATGTGTAGATATAATCAACTGTTATACTACTTTTGTTTCATTGATCTGTTTATCTTCATGTCACGGCAGTCTCTGTCCCTTGTTATAGTCTTTGCTGTGACATCTACTATATCTCATGTAAGTATTCGATCTCTACTTTTTACCCCGCTTTTATTTGCATGGAAAATCTATTTTAACCCACTTGACTTTCAGTCTGTACTGTGTCTCCCTTTTAGGCAGACTATAGATGGGTTCTTTTTTTTTTTTTTTAATCATTCAATCAGTATATGCCTTTTGACTGGAGCATTTAGTCTACCTACATTGGAAGTAATTATTGAGGAGCATGTACTTCTAGCTAGTCTCTTAAATGCTTTTTTCTTTTTTTTTAAGATTTACTTATTTGAGAGAGAGTGAGAGTGAGGGAGAGAGAGCAGGAGCTGGGTAAGGGGCAGAGGGAGAGGGAGAAGCAGACTCCCCTCTGAGCAGAGAGCCTGACGTGGGGCTGGATCCCAGGACCCTGAGATCATGACCCGGGCCAAAGGCAGACACTTATCTGACTAAGCCACCCAGGCACCCCCACAGTGGTTTTTTTGTTTTGTTTTGTTTGTTTTTTAAGGAAGATGTAAGCCCAATGTGGGGCCCAAACTCATGACCCTGAGACCAAGAGGCCAATGCTCCGACTAAGCCAGCTAGGCACCCCATATTTCACATCTGTTCCTCTGTATCCATGGATTAACCTCAAGATACAAATGATTTTACTACTTTTGTGTTTTAGCCTTCATAACAGCTTTCTAAATGACTTATTTACTAACTTTATGTTTCCAACTACCAGCAATTTATATATCCTTTCATAATTTTCATGCTTTTAGTTATTACCTTTTCTTTTCCACTTAAAAGAGGTACTTCATGATTAATAAGGCTGATTTAATGGTGGGATGCCTGGGTGGCTCAGTGATTCGAGCATCCAACTCTTGATTTTGGTTCAGGTCATGATCTCAGGGTCTTGAGATCGAGCCTCACATTGGGCTCCACGCTTGGTGCAGAGTCCACTTAGATTCTCTCTCTCTCCCCTTCCCTCTGCCCCCACATTGTGCATGTGCACTCTCTCTCCTCGTATAAATAAATAAAAGATTTTTTTAAAAAGATGGTTTCATGGTGACGAAGTTCTTTAATTATTGTTTGTCTGGAAATCTTTTTATCTCTTTCAATTCTGAGTGATGAATTTCCTGAGTAGAATATACTTGGTTGTAGGGTTTTTTTTCCTTTTGGCACTTTGAATGTATCATGCCACTCCCGACTGGCCTGCCATTTTTCTCCTGAAAAATCAGCTGATAGCCTTATGGAATTTCCCTTGTAGTTTAGAGTTTGGTTTCTCTAGCTGCTTTAAGATAACCTCTTTATATTTCATTTTTTCCCCATTTTATTATAAATGTTGGTGTGGACCTCCTTTTGTTCTTCCAGTTTAGCCCTGCTGTACTTTGCAGACCTGGATATCTGTTTCATGCCCAGATTTGAGAACTCCTCACCCATAGTATCTTCAAAGAAGTTTCTGCTCTTTTCTTTCCCTTCTCCTCCTTAGACCCCTATAATGCAAATGTTATTATCATTGCTGTGGCCAAAGAGGTCCATGAACTTATCCTCAGTTATTTATTTCTCACAGTTACTGTAATTTTGCTATTCAGCTTGGTTGCTTCCCACACTACCTCATCTTCCAGATTGCGGATACCTGTTTAGCATCCTCTAATCTCCTATGGATTCCCTCTAGTATATTTTTCATGTCATTTATGGTATTCCATAGCTGCTACTGGTTCTTGTTTATATTTTCTATCTCCTTGTTGAAGTGCTCACTGTGTTCATGAACTCTTCTCTCAAGTCTGGGGAGTATCTACATGACCATTACTTTGAACTCTTCATCTGGTAGATTACTTATCTCTATATGATTTAGCTCATTTTCAGTGCTTTTGTCCTGTTATTTTCTTTGCAACAAATTCCTTTGTCTTCTCACTATGTTGGCAATGTATTAAGTAAGGCAGCTACATCTCCTAGTCTTCAAAGTAGTGGCCTTACACAGAAGACATCCTATGGTACCCTAAACCACAATCACGCCCTGGACACCAGGACCAGGTGCTCCGGGTGTGGGCTGTGTGTGCTCTCCTGTTGTGGCTGAGACCCAGCTGCTATATGCACATTGGTTTGTGGGGCTTGCTCTCCTACATGCCTGGCTGAGAAGTACTGCTGTAGCCATGCTGGGTGCACTGATGAATGCGGGTAATCCTCAATATGGCTATCTGCAATGATGGGTGGTGACTGCTGTGGGTGCAGTAGTGGGCAGGTTGCCCCCAGCTCGGCTAGTTGAGAGGCCAGGCGACGGAAAGGCCCAGCTGCAGCTAGTACAGGCTCACTGGTCAGTGTGGTTAGTTCCTTCACACCCTGCGACAGGAGTCATGCTGGAGAAGTGGCATCACAACTGGGGTTGCATAACAGGGGTGGTATGACAGGAGTCCCAATGGGGAGACATTAGTCCCAAGTGAGGGGTGGCTGGACAGGAGCTACTTTGGACGGGTACCTCGCAGGGCAGATGGGTTAGATGCGGTGGGTCGGTGGGAAATGCTGAGTGGGGAAAACCAGTATAAGCAATGCAGATGAAGAGTGTCAGAACTGGCTCCCGGATGTATCTGGCTATCTCGGGTGAAGGAGGGAAGATAAACGACACTTGCCAGCATGTCAGTTCCTAGAGAGAACTCTCTGGGCCTCCAGTGTGTGCCCTAAAATTAGGCAATAAATCTCCTTCACACATAACCCAGGTACGTTTCAAAATTCAGCTTTGTGCTCTATCTTGTGCCACCTGACACAGTGTGCTAACTCTTTAAAGAGTGAAGACTCTGTTTTCTATAGCCCTCCATCTTTTCTGGAGTTAAGCCCCACTAATGTTTTAGCTCCCAAACTTAAGGCCCACTGATTTGCAAAGGCAGGGGTTCCGGGCCCTGGGGTCTTTGCACTGTGGTCCCCAGGGGTAGGGGTGCCTGGTGTGGGGACTGATTTCCCTGCTTCTCTCTACCTGTGATGTCCCACCCACTTTTGCATAGCCACAGTGGGGTTTGGCTTCCATACCCATCTCTGCCCCGCCTACCCATTTCCATGAGGACATCTCTTTCTGACTATAGCTGCGAAAGATCTGTTCTGGCAGTCTTCAGATCATTTTCAGAGTGAGTTGGAATACATGTAGTTCTTGCCTCAGAGTGTCCAGGGGAGCAGGGGAGCTCTGTCTGTCGTCTTCCCTCCTCATTAAATGAGGGTTTAACTGGAGCAACATTACCGAGCCCAATATGTAGTAACCACTGTGTAACTTTCATAGATGTGAAAACCACACAGCAGTGCCCCTGCCCCAAAGTGACACTGGAGACCACATTCACATTTATAAAATTAGGGAGTCTCCGACTTGGGTCCAGACTAGTAAAGAGTCAATTTAACACATAAAACTTCGTTTTCATGGAAAAGGTATGTGACCCTAGGTAGTTTCCATGAAGGCTTGGACTATGTCTGTCTCTTCTTCAACATATTCCCATTCCTCGGCCCCAGGAGGAATTGTAAGAAACATTCATTCCGTAAAACTCTAGTGGGAGGGGTGGCATGCTTACCCAGTGAGGCCAGGTTCCAGCAGGTCTCCAGCATCACATCTCTGTAGAGCCTTCTCTGACCACGATCCAGCAAAGCCCACTCTTCTGGGGTGAAGTTCACAGCCACATCCGCAAAGACCACCGCGTCCTGAAACATCCCACATATTCTATTGCAGCAACGCTCCCTCCTCACCCATGTGTGTGGGAGGACGGGGGTGATAGGCAGGGAACTGCACTCCATTCCTAGGACCTGAGTCACACCCGTGTGGGAAGTGACAACACGCAAGCACATCCACTGCCGCACACTCAGTGATGGGAAGGGCCAGGAACCCGAAGCAGAGGGTGATGACAACAGCTGATACAGACTTACATACACCCAAATATAGGCTATTTTTACTGACAGAGAGCAGATCTATGCAGACCAGCATGGTAAAGAATGAAAAATGAAATACTTTTTCAGACAACACATCTTTGACTTGATCAAAGATGATCATTGCCTTGTCAGCCCCAAGAACTTGAACCAGAATGTGGACATATAGATTCCAGTGCTGCTCTCACCCTGGAAGGCAACAAGGTCAAGGAGCCTGGTGCAGTTCCTCCTATTCCAATAGAGGCAGACCCGACCCTTTCCCTGGATCAGGTGGACTATGAGCATGGACACAGGGCCCGGGGGCTTGACACAGCTGGTGTGTAAGAGGAGTTCCAGTTCTGGAAGAATCATGGAAGTCAGCAGGGCCTCAAATACATACCCCAGTGCCCAGAATTCAAGGAGAAGGGCACCAGGAAGGAGAGCCCCTGAGGGATTGATGGTAACAGAGCCCAGGGTGAGTTTAAGGCGGGGACAGTGAATATGGTGTAGAGATCACTTTCGGGCAAAAGCTTGAACAATGGAAAGATAACCAGCAAGGCAAAGGCCCACAGTGACCACACATCTTAATATAAACAGGCTCATTAAGTGACCTACCTGGAAATGGCCATAGGCCCCAAGTAACCAATGGGCTACTTACAACCTGGCACAGTTACCAAAACAGGAAAATTCCACATGTTCCCATACTTCCTCACTTCACCGTGTAACTATAGCCTGCCCCTTAGCACCACCTAGGGGCAGCTTATCCTTTACTGTCCTGCTGGCTGTTCCCCTATGGTGTATTCAATAAACTTCTATGTCTATTGTTTTACTTTGGGTGAATTCTTTCCCCACCCATGCCACCAGCTCCACCAGATCAGGTCGCCCCACATTTGGCGACCACATTTAGGGACCTTCTGCTGTGCCGGGCCTCTCGTCAAATTCTCCAGGGATTTCGTGGGAGTTTATCTTGGTGGACCAACTCTAGTACTCCTTGGGGAACTGATGGCCTCCAGCTGAGGTCATTCCTCGGTGATGATCCAAAGCCCCGGGGGAGCCTGACTAACCACCCTTTTGCCCAAAAAGGTGAGGGATTTTCCCTCTTGCCCTTCAGCGGGATCCTCCCCTACCTCTCCTTTCTCTTTTTAGCCCCTCAGCTGGCCTAACTCTAGTACTCCTCAGACAACCGAAGGTCTTGGTGAACAGATCGGACTGTGCATGCCTGTGTGGGCGAAGGACCCCTTTCCTCTCCTCTCCCGCATCGCCTGAGACCTCCATTCCCAACATGTGGCGCAGTTGGCAACAGCAGCTCCTGCAAGGTGAATCTGCACATGTTATGTATTCTGTGGGACCCTTTCCTGACGCTTGCTGACTCTCAGCTGCCTTGCTTTTTTGAGACCAACCCCTTAATTTCTTTGTTCCCTTATATTCAGATCTTGATCTCAGACAAACATGTTCCTATGTGTCTTGATCTACAAACAAACACATTCCTATGTGTCTGCATGGTGAGTCCTCTCCTTTTATTTGACCCGGTTTGGCCACCCGGTGTCTGGCTCTCCCTGTTGCTGGGGACAACCCAACAGGGATTACTATTGCTATCTGTTGCAACCCTTCCTTGGTGGAACACCCCCTGGGAATCAGCAGCAGGTCTTTCCCATTATAGGAAATAAAATGGCTGGTTCAGCAAGCAAAACTGCAATCATAAACGTTATGAACAGAATAAAAACCAAAAACCCATGACCAGTTCAACAGACATAGAAAAGGCATCTGACTAAACCCATGACCCTGTCATAACAAAAGTACTCAACCAACTAGGAACAAAGCGGAGCCTCCTCACCCTAATAAGGGGTAGCTAGGAAAAGCCCACATCTAATAATTGAGCAGATACTTCTCAAAAGAAGATACGCAAGTGACCAATAGGTTCAGGAAAAGATGCTAGACTTCGTCATCAGGGAAATGGACATCAAACTACATGCAGATACCCCTTCAAACTCACTAGAATGCCTATAAAGCCAGGTGCCTGGGTGGCTCAGTCATTAAGCATCTGCTTTTGGCTCAGGTCATGATCCCAGGGTCCTGGGATCGAGTCCCAGATCGGGCTCCTTACTCAACAGGGAGTGCGGTTCTCCCTCTCCCTCTGCCCCTGCTTGTATCCCCTCTCTCACTGTGTCTCTCTCTGTCGAATAAATAAAATCTTTAAAATTTAAATAAATAAATAAAAATATTTAAATAAATAAATAAATAAATAAAGGGATGGCTATAAAGCCATCCAAGTAAGAGCTGGTGAGGACGTGAGGAAGCGGGATCTCATGCATTTCTGCTGCTGGGAATGGAAAATGGTGCAGCCATTTGGAGGTGTCTGGTGCGTCCTCAAAATGATGAATGTACCATTACCGTGCAATACAGCAATTCCACACCTAGTATTGATCGACCCAAGACAAGTGAAGATGAACACCAACACTAATTTCCATATACTCTCAGCAGCTTGATTCATAATAGCCAGCAGGTGAAAACCACCCAGAAGCCCGTCAGCTCTTTTCAAATAAAGGAGACATGACTAAAATGGAGTCAGGAGTCCACAGAGAAAGCACCCAAGCCCTTCCCTCGGGGCCAATTGCAGACTTAACAGGGAGAGATGCACATTACAAATCTGCACTACCTTACTTTCCACGCAGGAGGAAGGAGAATAATTTCCCTGTGTGGCAACAGTCCAGCCAATGACACAGTCACAGGCCAGCCAATGAGAGACAGTCACAGCTCAGCCAATGAGATGCAGCCACAGTCCAGCCAACGGGAAGCCGCAACCCATGGAACCTCCAGTTTGCTCCAATGGATGTTTTATATAGCAGGACGCTCCCAATGCCCCCCTCCTCTAAAAGGAGCATGCTCCCTTTCTTCCCCAGACTTGCCTGTGGTTTTGCTGGGGCTTCCTTGTACTATATTACAATTTTCTGATATTCCCAGATAAACCCGTTTTTTCTTTTTTAAAGATTTTTATTTATTTATTTGGGAGTGAGCATACGGGGGGAGGAGCAGAGGGAGACAGAGAGGGAATCTCAAGCAGACTGTGTACTGAGCACAGAACAAGGCTCAATCTCAAGACCTCAAGATCATGGCCTGAGCCGAAATCAAGAGTCTGATACTTAACCAACTGAACCACCCACCCACTCCCAGATAAAACAATTTTTCCTGTAAAAAGAACTGACCGCTTTGTTTTTAACATCAATGTTACTTGGTGATCATGCATGGACCCAGAGAAGACCCCACCTCTCCAAGCTGCTGAGCAAACAGGTGCGAGTCCCACAGAGCCCACTGCGCTCACTGCTTTCTCCCCGACCCTGAGCTGGAGGGTAAGTTTTGTCCTGGGATCAGAGATCAGAGCCCCGCTCCCTGTCTGCGCTCTGCAGGGTCTATGCGGACCTGGGTTAGGGGCTTCTCCTCTCTGACACTACTCATTTGGCTTTTGTTCCCCTCCTTTTCAGAACTGGACTGTTCCTCTCGGATCTGGAAATGCGCTGGCCTTTGGTCTGATTTCTTCTGTAAGGACCAGTGATTAGAAATTTTTATTTTGGTTTAGAAAAAACCCACCAAGAATGGATTCCAGTCATCAAAGCGCCGTGAAGGGCACCCAAAGGGGACCCTGGCCAGTTTTAGGTTTCAAAACCATGGTCGTGGTGCCCCTGGGTGGCTCAGTTTAAGCAGCCAAATCTTGATTTTGGCTCAGGTCATGAGATCAAGCCCCAGATAAGGCTCCGTGCTGGACATGGAGTCTGCCTAAGACTCTTCCTCTCCCTCTGCCCCTCCCCTCCCCCACCATGGCCTGCTAGCAAGCTTTCTCTTAAAAACAAAGAACATGGTCTCTCCAAAAATGCACTGCTAATAATTTAACCAAATGAACTAAATGTAATTTAAAACTACATGGGTCTTTATGGGGAACTTCCGAACTCGATCTCCACAAACTTGTTTTATTGATAACTGAATTAGGAAGTCATGACTCCAAAACATTGAATATGATACATATTTTAATCGGTAGCCCAAGACTTGCAAATATTTCTAGGAAGCTCAGTGTGCCTCCTTACAAAAGACTATTTGAAATTAACTGAGGCAAACAACTGAGAGAACACAAACGGCTTCTGAAGCATCTTCTTCTCCTGCCCAGCTTGACGGTCAGGTCCGCAGACACACGGGAGCCGCCCTGCACGGGGCCTGCCTCCAACCACCTCCCGCCACACTCTCTGCTGACCTTCCCTTTTCTTCTGACCCTGCCCTTGCTCCCTCCTTACCTCAGCCTATTAACAACCAGCCTCCTTAAAGATAAGGCTTCTCAAGATCTAAACGCCCAAATGTCTCATGTTCCCTGGACTGAGGCAGAAGTGTCCTGCGCGAACGGGAACCCCCACAATCTTGCTGAAGAACGTAACACAGCGTTTCAACCTACCAACCTGGTTTCCCAGATTTATACAAATTATTCCACAGGCGTGTTGCTGAGGGCCAGGCCACACGTGGGGTGACACGGACCCAGGAGAGAGGAACAGACGCCTCACTTCTGGAAAGACACTCCAACACTCGCTGGAAATCCCCGCGGACCAATTACAGAAGCTTTTCCTAACACTGCGGATAAACAACATCCAGTCCTCCACACGGAAGCCTGGTGAACCTGCGCGTGGCGATTACAAGGGACTCCGGCTTGTCTCCGATGCAACTCGGGGTCTTTCTTCACATGCGGAGTCTACCCAGGCAGCAGCTGATGGGCTGAGCCGGGATCGTTCTTTTTGCTTAAAAGCACCAGGATGGAACGGGAA